ACCAAAATGGTGATGATCCTTCTCCCTGCTTAAATACCTTCTATGGGCCAAGGCTCACGCCTGTAATGTCAGCATTTTGGGAGGCCGAGGCGAGCAGATCACTTAAGGTCAGGAGTTCTAGACCAGCCTGGCCAACACTGTGGAACTCCATCTCTACTAAAAATACAAAAATTAGCCAGGTGTGGTGGCACATGCCTGTAGTCCCAGCTATGTGGGAGGCTGAGGCAGGAGAGTAACTTGAACCCGGGAGGCAGAGGTTGCAGTGAGCCAAGATGGCATGACTGCACCCCAGCCTGGGAGACAGAGAGAGACTCTGTCTCAACAAACAAACAAACAAACAAAAAACCTTCTGTAGCTCCCTATTTCCTACACACTAAAGCTCAGATTTTTTTCTTTTGTTAAAAAAGACCACTAAGGGCCGGGCATGGTGGCTCACGTCTGTAATCCCAACACTTTGGGAGGTTGCAGTGAGCCAAAAACCTTTTTTTTTTTTTTTTTTTTTGAGAAGGATTCTCACTCTGTCACCCAGGCTGGAATGCAGTGGCATGATCTCAGCTCATTGCAACCTCCACTCCTGGGTTCAAGTGATTCTCCTGCCTCAGCCTCCTGAGTAGCTGGCACTACAGGCGCCTGCCACCATGTCCAGCCAATTTTTGTATTTTTAGTAGAGACGGGGTTTCACCATGTTGGCCAGGCTGGTCTCGAAATCCTGACCTCATGATCCACCCACCTCAGCCTCCCAAAGTGTTGGCATTATAGGCATGAGCCACCAAGCTCAGCCTAAATCAAATTCTTTAAAATGACACACAATGCGCCCTGAGACCTCTGACCTCCCTGTCCCTGCTTTCCCCTCCAGCTGCTTCTCTTACCCACCACCCTCACCTTCCCTCTATGCACTGGTCAGACTGAACTATCTACTTCTGGCCTGGCAAATGCCATGCTCCCTCCATCATTCAGGGCTTTGTATATGTGTATGCCCCCTCAAGGTGGAATGAGCATTGGTACACATACCCCTTGTTTCCCTCTGCTTAATTTGGTCAATTTCTATTTGTCCTTCAAGCATCATACTATACTTCCCTTCTACTGGAAAGCCTCCATTGATCTCTCCACCTTTGCCATCCAAGATTGGGCCTGGGTGCCCACCTGCCCCAGGCTCCCACATCTCCCTATGCTCTCTTGGCTTTTATGAAGACTTCCAGCCTTTTTTTTTTCCCCATGCACCAATTTGCTTTATGCTCCGTCTTGAGTCTATACATTTCTGTAGGGTAGGAACCCATCTTGTTTGCCGTGATCTCTCCTAGGGCCTAGCACAGTGCAGCCACATGGCAGGCATGTAGCAATAATGGCTGTAATATCAACAATAGCCCACATTTATTCAGCAGGCACTATCATGTGGTGGGAACCACTCAGGGTGCTGTCAGTCATAGTATGCTTAGTCCTCATGTGGCTGGGTAGCACCCAGGATCCATCCCTACCGATCTCCTGTCCTTTGGAGGCAGATAGGTGAAAAACACATTTCCCAGCCTGACTCCTTCAAGAGCAATAGGTACATACAGGGATCCAACATTTAGGCCCTCATGAAATTTGGAAGGTGGAAGAGGCAGAGTCCGCCTTCCTCCTGCTTTGGCTGCTTCTTTCTGGCAAGCAGGGCCACGCAGACGCACACTTTCCTGCGGCAGCATCCAGTGTCCAGTTACCACCTGTGGGGAATACGGGGACAGTTTGTGGCAATAGCAGTGGAGGCCCCGTCTGCTCCCTGGATCACAGCCATGCCAGTGTAACCCAGAACTCTGCAGTGCCAATGGCAATCTCCAGGTGCCCTACCTTGCTTCCTGCTCAGGTAGAGGTGGCAGACCCTCTGGACTCAGTCTTACTTCCTCTCCTCTCCCCATCCAGACACTCCAGCCACCCCTTAAGCACCTAACCTTTGTCTCAAATCACTTTCTGCCCAAAGTACCTCCACTGGTTCCTGTGTCCTGCACTGAACTCTGCTGACTCATACAATTTTTTTTTTTTTTTTTGATACTGAGTCTTACCGTATCACCCAGGCTGGAGTCCAGTGGCGTGATCTTGTCTCACTACAGCCTCCGCCTCCTGGGTTCAAGTGATTCTCCTGCCTCAGCCTACTTAGTAGCTGGGACTACAGGCACGCACCACCATGTCCGGCTAATTTTTGTATTTTCAGTAGAGACGGGGTTTCATCATGTTGACCAGGATGGTCTCGATCTCCTGACCTCGTGATCCGCCCACCTCGGCCTCCCAAAGTGCTGGGATTACAGGCATGAGCCACTGCACCTGGCCAGACTCATATAATCATTATCCTCATTTTACAGAGGAGGAAATTAAGGCCCAGAGGAGTTAAGTAATCTTCCCAGAGCCACACAGCCAGTCAGTGGTAGAACCAGGCTTTGAACCCAGGGATTTCTGACCCCAGCACCCACCATACTTGCTACCTCTGGGAATGTGCATTTCTGAGTGCCCGATGTGGGAGGAGGCACAGAGAGCCTTCTGGCAGGGAGCTGGGCTGACTTCCATGCAAGCAGGTCCTGAGGCAGGGTCCCAAGGTGTCTGCCCCTTCCTGTGCAGTATAAATTGCTCAGCTTCCTGGGGAAGGTTCCAGAAGCTAAGCTGCACCAGATGGGATGAGGGGGAGGAAGGCTGCCTAGGAGAGCCAGGGTGTCTAGTCACAATGTCAAGCTTGTGGAAGAAATATTCCTTTTGTTGTTCATATCCTTTTTGCTCTAATCACTGTGAGACCATCCGGTACATCGTTGATCGCTGCAAACGTGCATTTAAGACCTTGAGAGAATACAGCACAACAGGGAGGCCACCGTAATGACTGTCAGGACAATTTACCAAAAGTTTGGAGTATTCCTTAGTCAAGGTCCCCATGAACAAAACCAATGAAAATAAGCAGGCTGGGCGCGGTGGCTCAAGCCTGTAATCCCAGCACTTTGGGAGGCTGAGACGGGCAGATCGTGAGGTCAGGAGATCGAGACCATCCTGGCTAACACGGTGAAACCTCATCTCTACTAAAACATACAAAAAACTAGCCAGGTGAAGTGGCGGGTGCCTGTAGTCCCAGCTACTCGGGAGGCTGAGGCAGGAGAATGGCGTGAACCCGAGAGGAGGAGCTTGCAATGAGCTGAGATCCGGCCACTGCACTCCAGCCTGGGTGACAGAGCAAGACTCCGTCTCAAAAAAAAAAAAAAAAAGTAAAAAAAGAAAATAAACAAAAGAAAACCAAAAGTTAATGGCTAGAACAAACTATTAACTCAGTCTCTGAGTCTACAGGGCAGTAAAGAAGATTTCTAGATGTTGGTCTGTTTCATGATAAGCAGGTCTATGCAGTCCTACCCACAAATACCAAGAGAGCTGACAGGCTGGCCAGTTGCAGTGGCTCACACCTGTAATTCCAGCCCTTTGAGAGGCTGAGGCAGAAGGATCACTTGAACCCAGGAGTTTGAGATCAGCCTGGGCAACATAGCAAGACCCCATCCCTATTTTTAAAAAGAAAGAGAGCTGAGAGGCTGAAAAAAGAGGGTGACAAATCCAGTTTCTCAGAAATAAACATTTAATAGGAACTCACAAACAGAAGTCATGACTTGGGCAGCCACAGGATGGTGGGTCCTTGCACTGTCAATGTTGCTCTCCAGACCCAGGGCTTATATACCACAGGGAAAGGGCATCTGTGCTTCAGGAGGAATGTGTGGGACAGTTGAAATTGACTCCTTAGGGAAAGGCAAGCACTCTATGTGCGTCATAGCCTACAAATTGCCTAAGGGCAGGATTTATGTTAAATGCATGCTAACAGTAGACAAAGTAGAAATCTCAGTGACATTCCCATAACTGGGGTTAATCAGAAGTCAAAGTGGCAAATTAGCATCCAGGATGGAGTTGCTTTAACCTCCACATGTTCTCAAAGCATTTTTATTTGGAAAGGGGTCAGGCAGTGGCAGTCTGACAGATTTTCCTAGTTCACAGTTTGCACCAGGTGTTCCAGTGAACTTTCCGAGTAGTTTAGCCACAGGCATGAAGGTTGTTCATACAGAAGCTGTTATGATAATTTCTCTGAAGTCTGTAGCAAGTCTTCCAGTTTCAACTTGCAGGGCTCTAAGACTAGAAATCTTTTTTTTTTTTTTTTCGAGACAGAGTCTTGCTCTGTCACCCAGGCTGGAGTGCAGTGGCGCGATCTCGTCTCACTGCAAGCTCCACCTCCCAGGTTCATATCATTCTCCTGCCTTAGCCTCCGGAGTAGCTGGGACTACAGGTGCCCACCACTGCACCCGACTAATTTTTTTTTGTATTTTTAGTAGAGACAGGGTTTCACTGTGTTAGTCAGGATGGTCTCGATCTCCTGACCTTGTGATCTGCCCGCCTCAGCCTCCCAAAGTGCTGGGATTACAGGCATGAGCCACTGCATCCGGCTGACTAGAAACCTTTTTAAGCCAGGTCAGTTTTGCTCCAAGGGGTGCTTTATTGGCTCCGTAATGCCAACCTTAGTTCCTTAAAGCTGCCTAGTCATATCTCAAAATATGACATTCCAGTTAAAGCCTTGGTTAATTTAACCAGTGTTTCCATTATGTTTGCTACAGGAAAACAGGTTCTTATTGAACTTATGCAAACAATTGCATTGCCATAAAAATAAGGATACTTACTAATAGTTTCATAGTTCTGGAGGGATCGGGTAGGGAGAAAAAAGTAAATGTTATCATTTTTGTTCACAAAAGTATACTTTACCAAATTTCTGTAAGCTACAGATAGCTTAAGAAAAAAGAAAAAAATTCTTAAATCAAGAAAACAAATTATTTTATTTATTTATTTGAAATCAAAGGCCTCATATTTATTACTGAACCTAGCCAACCAACATGTTCATAACAGATTCAGAGAGGAAAACATGTTGAACTCTCCAGATAGTGGTGACATTTTCAGCTTCAGATGGTAACGTGACTGTGACCTTCAGACAGCATAAATATGTGTGCCATCTTATGTGCAATTCTTTATAGACCCAGCTTGGTTCTTCTCCAATGTCTCCTTTTGGAGTTGTACCTTATTTTATTACCAGTTTTCATCTGAATCCACTGGGGAATGGAACGATTTTGCTTTTGTTTCTTAGCCAGGAATGGCTTAATCCTGAAGGTCTTGTGAGAAGACATGGCGAGGGCCGGGCGCGGTGGCTCAAGCCTGTAATCCCAGCACTTTGGGAGGCTGAGACGGGCGGATCACGAGGTCAGGAGATCGAGACCATCCTGGCTAACACAGTGAAACCCCGTCTCTACTAAAAAAATACAAAAAACTAGCCGGGCGAGGTGGTGGGCGCCTGTAGTCCCAGCTACTCGGGAGGCTAAGGCAGGAGAATGGCGTAAACCTGGGAGGCGGAGCTTGCAGTGAGCTGAGATCCGGCTACTGCACTCCAGCCTGGGGGACAGAGTGAGACTCCGTCTCATAAAAAAAAAAAAGAGAGAAAACATGGCGAGAAGCAGAGTCAAGCACACACCACGAGGGCAGAGAAACAAAGAGGGTATTCTATTTTATTAATCTTTTTTTTTTTTTTTTTTTGAGACAGAGTCTTGCTGTGTCACCCAGGCTAGGGTGCAATGGCACTATCTTGGCTCATTGCAACCTCCACCTCCTGGGTTCAAGCAATTCTCCTACCTCAGCCTCCCAAGTAGCTGGGATTGCAGGCGCCCACCACCACACCCAGCTAATGGTTGTATTTTTAGTAGAGACGGGGTTTCACCATGTTCATCAGGCTGGTCTTGGAAGTCCTGACCTCAGGTCATCCACCCACCTTGGCCTCTCAAAGTACTGGGATTACAGGCATGAGCCACCACACCCGGCCTAGGAAACAAATATTAAAGTACCAGAAATATTTTAAACAAAAAGGCACAAACATTATCCTTGTCAGTTTATTCAGTCTCATGTGATTAATTCTTTTTTTTCTTTTTTTTTTTTTGAGACGGAGTCTCGCTCTGTAGCCCAGGCTGGAGTGTAGTGGCCGGATCTCAGCTCACTGCAGGCTCCGCCTCCTGGGCTTACGCCATTCTCCAGCCTCAGCCTCCCAAGTAGCTGGGACTACAGGCGCCCGCCACCTTGCCCGGCTAGGTTTTTTTTGTATTTTTTAGTAGAGACGGGGTTTCACCGTATTATCCAGGATGGTCTCGATCTCTTGACCTCGTGATCCGCCCGTCTCGGCCTCCCAAAGTGCTGGGATTACAGGCTTGAGCCACCGAGCCCGGCCAACATGTGATTAATTCTTGTCCTGCCTAGTGTTGGGTTAGCCATCTGATGAACCCATCAGTTTCCTTAGAGTTCTGGAAATTATTTTTCTTTTTTTTTTTTGAGGCGGAGTCTCGCTCTGTCGCCCAGGCTGGAGTGCAGTGGCCGGACCTCAGCTCACTGCAAGCTCCACCTCCTGGGTTTACGCCATTCTCCTGCCTCAGCCTCCTGAGTGGCTGGGACTACAGGCACCTGCCACCTCGCCTGGCTAGTTTTTTGTATTTTTTTAGTAGAGACGGGGTTTCACCGTGTTAGCCAGGATGGTCTTGATGGTCTTGATCTCCTGACCTCGTGATCCGCCCGTCTCGGCCTCCCAAAGTGCTGGGATTACAGGCTTGAGCCACCGCGCCCAGCCAAGTTCTGGAAATTCTTACCCACTCCAATGGTATAATCTAATAGATATCAGAAACCTATACTTGTCAGAGTCCTTTCAATGAATTTCCTTGAAGATGAAACATTTTAGGATTATAGTTGTTTGCAAAAGCTTTCAGGAAAGTATCAGAGTAAAATAGTTAACTGTCTGAGGATAACAAGACTTAAAATGGTCATGGCTAAAAATCTGATGTGAGTTTATCATAATACAATTGACATAGAAAATTCATTATTGGCTGGGCACGGTGGTTCATGCCTGTAATCCTAGCACTTTGGGAGGCCAAGGTGGGAGGATCACCTGAGGTTGGGAGTTTAAGACCATCCTGATTAACATGGAGAAACCCTATCTCTACTAAAAATATAAAATTAGCCGGGTGTGGTGGTGGGTGCCTGTAATCCCAGCTACTCAGGAGGCTGAGGCAAGAGAATCACTTGAACCTGGGAGGTGGAGGTTGCAGTAAGCCGAGATCACACCATTGCACTCCAGCCTGGGCAACAGCGAGATTCTGTCTCAAAACAAAACAAAACAAAACAAAACAACACTACATTTTTTTTTTTTTTTTGAGACAGAGTTTCACTCTTGTTGCCCAGGCTGGAGTGCAATGGCACAATCTTGGCTCACTGCAACCTCCGCCTCCCAGGTTCAAGGGATTCTCCTGCCTCAGCCTCCCTAATAGCTGGGATTATAGGCATGTGCCACCACAGCTGACTAATTTTGTATTTTTAGTAAAGATGGGGTTTCTCCATGTTGGTCAGGCTGGTCTCAAACTCCCAAACTCAGGTGATCCGCCGGCCTCAGCCTCCCAGAGTGCTGGGATTTCAGGCATGAGCCACCGTGCCTGGCCAAAACAACACTTGATTTAACAGGATCACAGATGATTACTAAGAAATGTCAAAGTGACTAAACATTTCAAAGGCAAATACAGAAAATTACAGTTTTAAAAAACATTAGCACTTTTTTTTTTTTGAGACGGAGTGCCACTCTATCACCTAGACTGGAGTGCAGTGGCAAGATCTTGGCTCACTGCAAGCTCTGCCTCCTGGGTTCATGCCATTCTCCTGCCTCAGCTACCCCAGCAGCTGGAACTACAGGCGCCCGCCACCACAACTGGCTAATTTTTGTGTGTTTTTAGTAGAGACGGGGTTTCACCATGTTAGCCAGGATGGTCTGATCTCCTGACCTCGTGATCCACCCGCCTCGGCCTCCCAGGGTGCTGGGATTACAGGCGTGAGCCACTAAGCCCAGCCACATTAGCAGTTTTAATATTGAGAAGACTAAGTTCTTAAATAATCAAAAGACCTAATACAGGCCAGGCGCGATGGCTCACGACTGTAATCCCAGCACCTTGGGAGGCCGAGGCGGGCAGGTCACCTGAGGTCCAGAGTTCAAGACCAGCCTGACCAACATGGAGAAACCCCATCTCTACTAAAAATAGAAAATTAGCGGAGCATGTTGGCACATGTCTGTAATCCCAGCTACTCAGGAGGCTGACGCAGGAGAATCACTTAAACCCGGGAGGTGGAGGTTGCAGTAAGCCGAGACTGCACCATTGCACTCCAGCCTAGGCAACAAGAGTGAAACTCCATCTTCAAAGAAAAACAAAAACAAAACCCAATACCAGATAACATGAAGCACATGAAATTTTCTTGATAAAACACAGAAGCTCTTCCCTCCCACCCCACACAGATCACTTAAAAGATAAAGAATCCCTTTCACAGTCTCTTATCTACTCCAAGGAAATCCTATTGTTTTAAAAGAAAAGGCCAAATTTGTCTGGGTGTGGTGGTGCTGTAATCTTAGCACTTTGGAAGATCCAAAGTGGGTTGCCAGAGGTCAGGGGTTTGAGACCAGCCAGGCAAACTTGGCGAAACCTCGTCTCTACACAAAATACAAAAATTAGACAGGCATTTTAACAACCCAATGGATTCACCTTGCCAGTTGCTTAGATATAGCTGATTTATCAAAACAGGGGAATTGCAACAGAGAAAGAGTAATTCATGCACAGCCAGCTGTGCTAGAGACTGGAGTTTTATTATGACTTAAATCAGTCTCCCAGAGTATTTGGGAATCAGAGTTTTTAAGGATGATTTGGTGGGTGGGGGAAGGCCAGTGAGTTGAGAGTGTTGATTGGTTGAGTCGCAGCTGAAATCTTGGGAAGCTGAAGCCATCCTCTTGTGCCAAGAGTCATTTCCTGGGTGGGAGGCTACAAGATCAGTTGAGCCAGTTTATCTACTCGGTGGTGCCAGTTTATCAGTTAAGTGCCAAGTCTGCAAAACATCTCAAGCACTGATTTTAGGAGCAGTTTAGGGAGGGTCAGAATTTTGTAGCCTCCAGCCGCACGACTCCTAAACCATAATTTCTAATTTCTAATCTTGTGGCTAACTTGTTAATCCTACAAAGGCAGTCTAGTCCCAGCAAGAAAGAGGTTTTGAGAAAGGGCTGTTTTGTTTTAAACTGTAAACTATAAGTTCCTTCCAAAGTTAGTTTATCCTATGCCCAGGAAGGAACAACAGCTTAAAGACTGGAAGAAAGATGGAGTCGGTTAGTTAGATCTCTCACTGTCTCAGTGGTAATTTTGCAAAGCGCGGTGTCAGCATGGTGGCACGTGCCTGTAGTCTCAGCTACTTTGGGGACTGAGGTGGGAGGATCACGTGAGCCTAGGAAGTCGAGACTGCAGTGAGCCGTGTTCACACCACTGCACTCCAGCCTGGGTGACAGAGTGAGACTGTCTCAAAAAAAAAAAAAAAAAAAAAAAGATAAAAATCTAGTTTTGCATTAGTGTAACTTTGACATTAAAATTTATTTTTAAAAACTCCTAGAATAAATCTATTCAATTTCAACTGATTGGACACACCACATTCTTATTTTTGCTCTCTTGCTCTTCTCAACTTTCTATCTATTCAGTTTTTGCCTTTATTCAATTTCTTCATTCTAAAACAACCTGTGGGCTAAGTGTGGTGGCTCATGCCTGTAATCGCAGCACTTTGGGAGGCCAAGGTGGGCGTGTTACTGGTGGGTCTTTGTTCTTGGAGCTCCCAAGATGGCGGCAAGCCTTCTGTTCTCTGACCTGGAGTTCTTGCCTCACAGATTCCAAGGAATGGAATCTTGGGCCAGGTGGTGAGTGTTACAGCTCTATTAGAAGCCTTGGGTCACGGAAAAGAACTGCGGAACCCAGCAACTAGTGTTCAGCTGGATTAGGACGAACCCCGGCACTTAGCTTCGCAGGAACAATGGCGCGTCTCCAGTCCCATTGGGAGTGGCAATGGATGCCTTGCTGGATCAGAAGCGCAGTGGACACCCTGCCAGATGCGGAGGGTGGAAGTCAGCTGCGGGTCTGTGACGACGGCGATCAACAGTGGTGGATGGCGAGTGAAAGCTCAGCTTGAGCCAGAACAAACACGGACCAGAAGAGTGGAGTGTGCAGTTGCAAGATTTAATAGAGTGAAAACAGAACTCCCATACAAAGGGAGGGGACATGGGGGTTTGCCCACTCCTGGCTTGAATGCCTGGGGTTTATATCC